CCGTCTCCAGCCATTTCTGTTTGGTTATTGTACATATAATGTGAATTTGACCAAAAATATTTTCTTTTCTTTCAGGCTAGATCAGAAATCCAAAATGCCATATAAAGTGTGGCACGAGAGGTTGAAAATAAGAATAAATACCTTTTATAAGGTGTTTACTCGAAAAAATAAAAACCCTTTAAAGGTAAGAGAAGTGAAATAGTTTTAGTAAATTTATATTTGATAATAATTTTAATTTGTTTTTAAACTTATGTAAGATTGATATTATAACTTAAGATACAGGAATTTGCATTATGAATACACTTTTTTCAGTTTCAACAAAATATACAATAAATAAGTGCTTGAAGATAGCTTTAAGTATGCGGAAACATCTGTTAGCTGGCCTACATTGATCCGACTCATTTTATAAGGTGTACTATTTCCTATAGATAATTTTCCAGACGGTTCTGCTATGATTAGTGTCTGGTGAAAAGCTTCAGCAGATATTTGCTTTGCAACATCTCAACCAAAAATTGGTCCTGTTATCAACGCTATTTTCAAGTTTTGAACAACTCGACTTTCAAGATCTACATATCTACATGTGCCGATGTTTCCATTTATCAACGTTATATTTTAAGATCTGTGCAAGAACTCAGCTAACAGATGTTTTTGCATATAAAAGCTATTTTCAAGTTTTGAACAACTTGACTTTCAAGATCTACATATCTACATGTGCCGATGTTTCCATTTATCAACGTTATATTTTAAGTTCTGTGCAAGAACTCAGCTAACAGATGTTTTCGTATATAAAAGCTATCTTCAAGTCTTGTACACCTAAATAAGTACTGTAAGATTCTCAAGTGCATTGAATGTATTTTGATCTGTTCAAGTATGTGGTGATAGTAGTTAGTAAAATCTTTTTTAAAACTGGTTTATTGAGTAATAGATGTTTGGTGCTTCTGTATTCATGGGTACCACAGCACTGGCAAGTGTGAGTATCCATAAATGCTGTTGAATGCCTTTTTTCCAGCCTCCATCAATAAATGGCATGATGCCCTTTATTTTTGCATGTCACAGGAGATATGATGATAATATATTATTGCATTTATTTGAAATAATCTTGTGTCATAGATATTTTTTTTATGGCAGCACAGTATATGTAATCTCCAGTTACCCGTTGCTGTGCATACACACAATGTTTCAATTGGTTTCTCAGTTGGCTTAGTGGTCTGACATGCATAAATTATATTTTTTGTCTGTGATATTGCAAGAAAATGTGATTCTTTATCGATTTAAAAACAATAAATGTGTTAACTGACATTTTTAAATTGTATTTTGAAAATTTTAACCGTGACCAAGTTGTAGCACCTTGTCAAACTGCTTTCTGTTTCATTAATATTTCTGTTTATGATGTTTATAATTTTTGTAACAAATGATCCTAATATAAAGTTAGTCCTAATCCTTAGTCCCTCTCCATACAATTTCAGTAGCATCAAGCTTGAGGACTTATAGTTCTGAAATTATAGATTTTATCTCTATGATGGGCATAGCAAATACCCCGTTGAACAAACTGATCTTTACAAATAAAAAAATAATAGATAAATTTGCAGTTTACAAGCTTGAAATTTAAAAGCTACATACTTCTACTTCAGGATACTACCATAAGTTATTGTAAATTACCTGTGTTTTTATTCATTTTATAAAAACTTGTGCAGTTGTGTTAATTGATGCTTGCTATAAGGGTGTTTTTATGTGTTGTATATTAAAAAAGTACATCTATTTGATAGCTAGAACTAAATGCTGTTGGAATTTAGGAAGCCAGAATTAGTATGTAATTGTTAATTTATAAGTTATTATAAACATTACTGAAGAAAGCATTGCTAAGGAAGTATTTTTAGATGAATGTAAATAATCTTATAAAAAATATGTATACATATATATTGGAAATATATGTATTTTTACACGCGTAAATATGTTTTCTTTTTTCAGGTGTTTGAAACTCTAGGAGTAGAACCAGATTTTTTTAAAGTATTAGGTAAGTGACTAGTTTTGTAATAGGTGTAAAAGTCTTAGAATATAATATAATTTGTGATACTGAACTTGAAATAAAAACCAAAAAGAAAATTGTTAGTGTTATCATTAATGTAAATTCTGTTTTTCATTATATCATTGTTTGTTTGTAATATAAAAATTTCAGGAAAGGACAATTTGTTTTCCCGGGGCAAACACTCACATTAATGAAACGGGGTTGGTGCACCTGGTTCAGGCTGTAATAAAATGGCTTGCACGCGTGCGTGCATATTCATTCATGTGTGTCTGTAGTCGCATTTTGTTTATGCACATGTAAATTCAACACTATTTAAAAGTTGTACCTTTTCTACTTTTCTGAAAATTAGTATAATTTTTAATTATCTTCCTGATGTCTTTGTAATGTTGTTGGCCTGATGGGGGGTTCAATGTTTGTTTTTTGTTTGGATTTAGATTCTATTTGTGCAAAAAATTCTAACATAAAATTATAGCCCATATTGTATAAACTGAATCATTACTGAAAATAAAGCATTAAAAGTTTGCCAGTTATGACAGAACTGACTCAAGCACGTGTTCTATAACTTGCAGTTCAACTGATTGATAAAGTCACTTTGTACATTCAAGTATAATACATCTTTAACCCTTTCGAGATGGGTCCAAATATTATTGAACTATTATTTCATGAACTGTAGATTATAATTCAAATTTTAGTACTATACATTACACAATTTTTTAATTTAAAAGGAAATATTAAAAAATATTGATACACATAGATTTTTGTGTGACACATGCTATATTGAATGCAGCACTGATTCAAAGTAGATGTTTGTGAAGTCAAAATACTAAGTCTATAATTTTCTATGAATTAGAAACTCAAATTACAGACATTGACATGCTAGAATATAAAATAAGAAGGTCTTATCTTTTCTATTTGCTAAGATATTGCTCATGTAATAAATCAAACACAGTGGCACCCGACCC